TTGTCTCGCGGAGAGAAAATCAAATGATTACGATTATTACGAATAAGCAAATTTCAATAGGAGTATTACCATTTTTGATCGTTACTTGACCAACACACAAAAATTGCGGCCAATGTGTACCAAATCGCTCTATTCCCTGCACTAACTAATACTGCGAAATCTACCGTCGAATGGAATGAACTCTAGTGTCGCCAAAAGCAGAACCAAAACATGTTTATTATTTTGAGAATCCCAAAGCATCCCACTTTAAGGACAGAGTAAAGTACTATTTAGTATTTAGTTTTAAAAAGACTGGTAGTGGGCTTGAATATCAAAATAATAATAAGATATCTTCTAACTTTGGGCTTGGTCGATTCAATACCGCCAATTTATATTGCAACCAAACACCTAAAATACGCTTGAAAAACTCAAAAACCATAAAATAAGGAGAGGTGCGAGGCAGATGAATTAGCTAAGAAAAGACTTCTTTTTTCCAAAAACGTTTTCAAATTGAATGTTGTAGAAAACTATATTCTCTAAAATATTGTTTTAAACAGTTTTGTCGCCATATTGGGATGGAGTGGAGCTATTGCGAAAAAAACAATTTAACCACAATGGAGGCTTGTAAGAGTAAATTTGTGTGAATTTTCCGGTTCTAGGCTAACTTTCAAACTATGTATTTATTCCATTGTACACTGAAAAAATTTTTTCATCGCCGCAGTAAGTTTTTCCGCTATTCTAGCTGAAAAATCTATTAAAATGGGCGTTAAGAAAGAATTATGCTACTGCAGTAAAGTTCACTTTGCTGCATTCTCTTTATTATAGTAGTAAAGTATTTTTATAAAGTGTCTTTTCTGAACCAGGAAAGCTTCTTTTGTAAAACAGCAGAATCACTTTGCAGAAATAGGCCAGCAGTTTACTATTATAGGTATATATTTTTCTACTATAAAAGGGATTTATTTTTATTTCAGATATTTTTTTTACAATGGAAACAATATTATCCACCTACAGGCGAATTATTTATAGTTCTAGCAATTATTTATGCTACCACAGAAATATGTCTTTCCGGCAGTTTTTTTTTGGTTTGTACTTAGTACGGCTGGATCAATCGCTTGTTAAGTCCTTGTTAGTTAACAAAAATCTTAGATTGTGTGTATGTCAATATGACATTTTTGTGTGGCACATTCTAAAGATAATTTGTAAACTAACGGACCTAACCAACGATTGATCTAGCCGCACTAAAGATTCTATTTCATATAACCAACCTTTTGGATTTTATTGGCCTTCAGCTTAGAGCTTAATAGGAATTAAAAGTCTGCAAATTTCCTAGGAAACTCCAGCTCTTCATAAGTTAAACCTATAATTTTTTGAAGCTTGAAACTAGAGGAAAAAACCATTGGGTGGGTTATACGAGGTGGTAAAATCGCCAGTAGAAATAATTTCAGTTGCTGAAAGAAATATTTTTGTGGTTACAATAAATAACTATTATTAGAACTATGTACCGTAATAAAAAAAATAAATAATCAAGTTGGTGGCCAAACGGCGTCAGCCAGATTGAGCACAGAACCAACACGAGACCTTTCCACAGCTCCGTCGTCTATGAATGCAAACTCGGAAATGCGAAAAGAAAACATGGAGATGGACACGCTTCGCCAGGATTGGCGAAGCGGCAGAACGAAAAGCTCCGAGAATAGCCGATCTAAAGTCTATAGACAAGTGCTCTCCTGAATCAAATATGTTCTTTTCTATGGTAGTAAAGTACTTTGCCATTCTTACAAAAAATAATTTACAAATAATTTTTACCAGTAATAGCAAAGCACTTATTCATTTTAGAAAAATACATTTCTGGAGAAGCAGATAGATGCTTGGTAAAAAATAAGAAATACTTAAACTTTTCTATTTCAAGACCGTATCATGCATTTTTAGTAAAGCTGTGACTGAAAAGTTAATTTTACTGGCCCAAAAAAGTATTTTTATATGTACCGAGAAAATTCTGCCTGTCTCAGCCAAAAAAAGTTTAGGAAATAATTCTTTGCTGGGAATTTTCTCAGTGTATGCTTTGTCTTTAGTACACGCATCCTTCCAGGTAGTAGCTACTATATTAGGTATCTAATCTGAGAAATATATTGTTTCATATTTCAATAATTATGAACTTCAAATAAATAGTACTTTACCGACTCACTTAAAAATATAAATATAAAATAATATGTTAAGGTATATTTAACAAGATAACTAAACAAATAACAACAGGTGTAAAGGTTATGCATGGTCAGGTGTGTATAATATTATCATCTAACTCGATTTCTACCAACTATTAAAGTACCATTAACTAAGTCATAAGTCTATCACAGCTCTTACACATTTGCAACTTAATGTTAGCATTTTTATTATAAATCGATATCAACGATGTTTCGACAGATCTTATTATATTCTCTGTCTGTGTGAATGTTTCCTGACCAATCACAATTGATTGCTTCACGCGTGGTAGTTTTAAAACATTTTTATCGATGATTGAAGAGTTTTTTCAAAACTTTTGAATCAAGTTCACGAGTTATGAAAATGCTTTTCATTAGCGATTGGCGATATGTAAATTCTATTATTACCACATGACCTGATAATGAAGTGCCGATAAAAATATTTGAAAACTTTTTTCTTTAACAATTTCGGTATTGAGTTTACAGACCTCGGTACAGAAATGGTTCAGATTGCTCTAAGACAAAACTAAATGCGGGAACCTAGGTATTATTCACGTTTCTATTTTTTTTTTTTTTGCTTCTCGTGCCAAATTTCTACTTTTAGCGAGCGAAGGGTTCTAAGATGACGTTTAGAAAGTTGGAGAAAAAATTTGAATGAAAAAATAGTTGACTTTTTTTAATTCGTGCTGACAAACAAATTGAGCTTGAGGTGTAAATCAATATTATTGAATTAACATTATTTCACATATTTTGAAAAGATTTAGAATTAGTTCAGTTTCTCACAAAACTATTAAGATTCATATCATTTTTATCCCAACTTTCTAGACAAAAAATTGCCGCATAAATTTTTTAATCTAAAAACTACGGAAAATAAGGTTTCACCACATATTGCTTTGCCTTTAAGAAGCACACCACCATTTTTCTACATTAAAATTTAATGAGGGCTTTCCTCTTCGGTATCTAAGGGGCTAGGCGACAGGAACTTGCGCACGTACTTCGGATAGTGAGTTTTTTCGTGAGCTTTCAAGATCGTCGAACGCGAAAACGTCTTTCCGCACAAACTACATCTAAAAGGACGTTCGCCCGTATGCACCCTACAATGGTCTTTCATGTGATGTCGCAATTTGAACGCTTTACCACAAAACTCGCACTTGAACGGTCGGTCACCAGTATGCGCAGGTAAATGGGCTATAAGCGCAGCGACGTCCGGAAATGATTTACCGCAAAATTTACACAGCACCACACCACCAGGTCCTCCTTGGGAGGCCGCATCATCTAAATCCATAGGAGTGGGAGGATGATCCGTGAGGTCTGGTGGCTCACCTCTCGAATCTATCCAGCTAGGAGGTGAAGGTTCTACTATATTCAACGGAGGAATGCCACGTTGCTCTCGATACTTCAACGTCTCTAGGCTGTGACTGAGAATATGCCTGGTTAATTTGCTCTGGTGGGGAAATGTGTTTCCGCAGTACATGCAGGGGTAGATCCTAGGGGGCGAACTGGACGCGCCTGCGTCGCCGGGGTCGTCAGGCCGCTCCTGGAAAACCGACATTGATACATCAACTTCTTGCCGCGTGTGTGGGTGCGCGGGCGAGGCAACACGGACAAGAAGTTGACGCTCGTGTCGGCCAGAGAGCAGCCCGGCGTCATCCCGGGCGGCCGCACCCGAACACACACACGCGGCAACTTTGGTACTACCGTTTTAACCACGGTAATCACAAAATTTATTAGAATTCAATTAAGATCCCGATAAAATCAACCACTATGAAGTAGAAATTAGAGTAGTGGAAATAAAATACCTAGTGACAGCGATTTCAACACCTGCTTCGTTGAAACTACCCTTCTTTGACTGATTAGTGTGTGGCTATGTACCAACAAAAATCACAAGCTACCAGTTGTCTAGCCCAAGCGATTCTAAGAGAAATTGGTGTGTATGATTGGTAATTTATGTTGCAACTTTTGAAACAAAGCCACTCTCTGATTACTCAGAGCTCCTGTTCAGCGTGGCCAAAGGAGGGAGTTAAAAAACAAAAATTGAACAAGCTAATAGGGTTCTCCTAATCAGAACTTACTCTAAAATATTTAAGTTATGAAATATTACATATTCTATTAGTTTGCTTCTTGCGCTGTAAGTGAGTCTATGAATATGAAGCTCAAAAACTTTGTCATATAAAGAGCTAAATTGTTCGATAGTCTTAACAGTACCTACTGAATATATTCACACGCTGCAATACTACCTTTAAAAGAGACACAATAGCTAGGCATAGCTGATCCTCTTGTGCCAATCTTTCGTAAGAGTTACTGGATTCGTTTGGTGTTTTGTGGGTCCAGTGATAAGTAAATAATGATGAAAAATTGAATAGACAAACTTGAAGGTAGCGGAATAATTATGTTCTGCAAAACCAAGTTGCAAAAACATTTCTAGAAATATCTCGAATTACAGAGTCTAACTGCAAGGAGGGCGGAATCGGTGAACGCTACGCATGTCAAAAATCTTACTTCTATGGAGTGTGAACATGACATTTTAAATTTAACAAAAAAATACTTTCATTAACCCATGGAAATGTAACCAATAGAGCATTTTCTCATTTCTTTGTATAAACGCCGGATAATCCTATAAAAATAGAATTTTGATAGTTTTATTTGAAAATTTAGTTGGATAATCTTCCACGGGGAACGCTGTTATATTGCACCGTGTAAATTTGGCATTAGGCACTTATTTCCACTACAATACTATTAATTTATCTAACTGTATCGATACTTGGATGCTAATTTGAAAAAAATACCCTTGAGTTTTACCTAATTTTTAGATTAAATTCTACTTACCGAATCATGTGGCATTCTTGAATACTCGGACGAACTTTCACCTCCTGAATTTTTATCATCGACTCCTCCACCCCAGTCCACTTCTTTTTTCCCAGGCCAGTCGGCGTCTTTTTTCGCTCCCCAGTCCACTTCCTTTTTTAAACTCTAAAAACCCATTTTGTTGAATATTGACTACTTATATCTTAACATAACTTCCTACTCACCAAGGGCACTTGTTGTATCGGTGGCAAATTTGAAGGACCCGGCAATGCAGGATCGCAATTAAGTGGTGATGTTGGGCGACATGCTGCAGGAATCGGTGGCGGTCCGAAGCTGTTGATAGTAGGTGGAGGTGGTTCAGGTGAGCCATTTTGTGAAACTGGCCTGATGGGTATGGGTTCGGGTGACTGCCTCGAAGTTGGCGCAGGAGCTAATGGTGAATTACAGGGCGGAGTGGGGTCATTGGTACCTAATGAAGGTGGACGACGGTTAACCAACTCTTCTGGTTCCGTCTGTTCAGGCGGATCAGGTTTGTATTCACGTGTCATTTCTGCGAGACCTGAAAATATGAATAATTTTACTGCAGACGTAACTTACAATACAATTCCAATTTACCCGATGATTCATCATCAACATACTTCAGATAAGCAAAATACCAACGATGATCGTTAATTTGGTTAAATAAGCAACAATATTGCGCGTGTATTGAAAGCAAGTGCAATTTGCATATTTCTCTTTAAATGAGAAATTCTTGCACCGTTAGCAAATAGCCCTGGCGTTAAGCAATCGCTCGTAAATGCCATTGACAGGTTTATGAATTGTTTTCATGCTATGCGTATGCCGCAAAGATTGAACTTCTTATGGATCATGGAGGATGTACAGCTGAAGTGATACGAAAATTTATTTGCCAACTGGTGCGTAAAATTGCAGTCAGGTTTTGAAGATATTTTAAGAAATGCATTGATGAATATATGGTAAGAGAATCAGTACCGAATAGGTATCTAGTGAAAATGCTTTCCACAAAAAAAAAATGTTTTTGATTTTCACAAAGTTCTGACAACTAGGGATCATCTTTACGACGCAATAAGGACAAATTAAAACTTATGTTGATTTAGTGTCCTGATAAATAAATTTCTAAATTTAACGTGGGTTATAGGACTTGGTACAAAGAAAAACTCAATTTTCATTTGGTAATCTTTCGTACATCTATTAGTAGGTACTTTTTCAAACCCCAAAACGTACAAATAAACTATTTAAATGGGTCTAATGGGCAAAGACAATTCATGGGTCAAAACGGAGTATATTACTTGACAAATAAACTAAGTAGCTACTAGCAAACAGAACATCTATGGTAAAATAACAAAACAATAACTTAAGGCCGAAACCCACTAGCAACACGCCACGTCATGCTTCGCCATGCCACGCCATGTGACGAAAATGTATGCGTATATTCTTGCATTTATTTATATGTGCTGCGTACACAGTTTCCATATGCGATACCACGCCATGGCACGCCACGCCATCCGTCTATTTGCATACAAACTGTCCCACGTGAACCTGTGTCACATGGCGTGGGGTGGCGTGTTGCTAGTGGGTTTCGGCCTTACTCGTTTAACAATTAGTATTTACACGCCATAGGACAACAGGAAACACATCTCAATAAAAATATGGTTTGGGTTAGAACATAAATCCAATTAAATAATTCAAGATTTACAAAAAATTATAAAGCGATAATTAAAACCACGATAATAATTAAAATAATGATAATTTATCCCTTTTCAGTTGGGTAGCGCTTTCTGTTTAGCTCATCAGTGCGAATATTTCCACAGCCAAATTTAAACAAATGTGAGTGTATCACCAGTATTCACACATATTATGTATAATAGTCAAATTAATAATCATATATTAGTCGATTGGTGGCCTTTGTAAAGTTGTAATATATTACTATATGTATATTACCACTGAGACCCTGTATGCCAGTTCTGAGATTCACAAAATCATTTGGATTTATGTGTATCATTTCACTTATCATTCTTTTTGTGTGATTTGGTTCAGTGTCTAGAATTTGAGTGCTCTCAAACAGGAATCCATGCCCTGTGTCAAAATGATGCTGAGCTAATGCTGATTGTTCTGGTTTATATCTTCTTCATTTCAACAATCTCCTTGATGTTGTTGTATAGGTTTATTCAAGTACTGTTTGATCTGGCCAACATATTGTTTACCACATTCACAAGGAATTGAGTAAACAATATTGGATCTTTTTTCCTGTGCTGTTTGATCTTTAAGGGACGTATAGAGAAATTTGGTGGTATGCGGATTGTAGAATGCCAGCATTTTGTTTGTATCCTGGAAGCATTTTTCAATTTTATGTGAAAAACCTTCAATGCAGGGAATTTTGAAATATCTGTGATCCTTATCTTTGGTTCCATTATGACTAACTTCTTTCTTATATGCTTGAACTTATTTTTATTTCTATTTATGAAGTTAATAGGGTAGTTGTTTTTTCTCAATAATAATTTCAGTTTGCTGTAATTATCCGAATGGAATTCAAGACTACTTTATAGATTTATAGCTCTGTGTCAGTTATCATGCCGATTTTTTGAGATAGAGGATGAGCTGAGTAAAACTGTTTTGTTTTGGGACCGAACAGGTCGTCCAGATTTTTAGAATTTTAAAAATCTTAAAACTTTATCTTTGTTTTTGGCCATCGAGTCCATATTCTTGAAAATTAACTAACCAGAAAAGTGCTTGATCGTGTCTACTAGAAAGTTTCCTGGAAAATGTACCGATTGTTGATTTTTGTGAGGATTTTGGAAAGTGAGGATACTATCGGCCATTCAGGCATGTAAATTCCTTTTCATCTCTGATGAATGAGTCCTTATATTCCCTCAATTTATTCAGGCACCTTCGGCAGGACGAAAAATCCGTGCCTGCAGTTCTCCAAGTGAAAATTGACAAATTTGAGACCACGCTGTCCTGGAAACTCAGAGCAAATCTGGGCCCCCTTTACAAGGAAAGTCTGTGTCCTGTATGAAGTTGATCCCCAACCATTATTTGGTTGTCTCCAGCCAGTTTGGTACCTCCAGATCTCAAATTTCTGAAAACTTCCGAGGCTTTACAAGGATTCCGTCCAGGCTTGTATAATTACTTACCTATGGGTGTCTTAAACGTGCCATCCTAATTACCGTTACTTATTTTTACCTTTTTCTTTATCGCCCCCTATCGTTTAGCTTTATTAGCTAATTAATATCTATGTATATCCATTTACCGACTTAATTTGTTTACCGTATAGTAGTGTTTAGCTAGAATAGCTAACTACCGTTTAAAATTTATTATTAACTTAATTAATTAATTTTTATCAGAGTCAGATATTGGCTTTTATTATCGTTTTCTGTATCATTATTTATGATCCAATAAGTATGCATTATTATAATTATTATAAATTTATTTCCGTAATATCGAGTACCGATCGATATAATATATAGTGGATTCATTAACCTTTAGAGGTTTATTTAACTTTCAATTTCAAATCAATAATGTGGTAGTTTTACAAGGTAAACTAATGTAAAATCTTTAGGTAGTCAAATTTAAGTTTTATGGTTACCTATTTTGAACTTTAAAGGTAAGAAGGTAGAGCTCTTCCGGAAACCGTGACCCCTTGATTTCACCTAGTAGGTTTTTGATATTTATAACTGCCTAGGGATTATTTATTACCCATTGATCAATTTGTTTTTTATTGATTTGATTGACTTTGAGTCAAAAATTAAAGGTTAATCTTATTTTGACTTCAACATTTATACTTAGGTAATTCTCATCGTAGGTATCTATTTAATTGTTTTTAAATTTCAATCTTTTTATATACCCATTTAAATTAAGTTTTGCTTCCGTAAGCTGCTTATTTTTTTTGTTAATAAAATTGGATACTGAACAATATTCACCTTTTAACAATTTATGTGTTCCATGTTAATGAACAACAAGTTCGCCATCCGGTCAATAAATTTTTGTTTTTAGAATTCCAAAACTTGTCTTTTTATTGAAGAGGTTAAATGTCAGATAGCTATTGGATTTATTTTACTTTTTCAGATTTTTGCATTTATCTTTTAAAATAATAGCTAATTATTCGAGTAGTGTCTAGTTTGGCTATTCTTTGGTAATCAAAATAATTTTATACAAACTAGGGGCGCCCTCTCTTTACTGTACCAACACCAAGGACCACCCCCAGCTAAAGAACCACTGAGCATAGTCGAGCACAATTATGAGCATTCTTTTGTTTCGACAAAAAGCATTACATGGTTTAGAATACCAATTAGTCAATACTGTGCCATTCGACTGTCGACACACATCTGTATCCAGAAAGCAAATTTTATTTTCAACCCTAGTTTCCGTTGTAAATTGTATGGATTGATGAAAGCTATTAAGAAGGACCAGATCCAGTTGGTCTTTTCAGCCAGAATAGTGTCATCAACATAGACATATAAAAATGAGATGTCGAATGGTAACTTTGATAAGGTTTCAGAAATGAGGTGGTTCATCACAATGTTGGCAAAAACTGGACTAGCTGGGTTGCCCACTGCTGAGCCATTTTTCTGAAAATATATTTTTTGTTGGAAGGAGAACTTGTCTCGAAGCAGAAGTTCACTATGTCAAAAAGTGTTTGCTTTGGAATTTGGGTGTAGGATGAAAGAAACTTGAAATCTTTTTTCAAAATATCGATGACTAATTGCTTGGGAATATTTGTGAAAAGACTGACCACATCTAAAGAAACAAGAACTTAGTTATCAGATATGTGCTTTTGTTTGACTAGCTCAATAAAATGGAAGGAGTCTTTTACATACAAATGGAAAATTGAAGTTGAAGGATTGAGCAAATTATGTAAATATCTAGCCATATTATATCCAGGGGAATTGATACAACTTACAACGGGTCTAAGATTTACGCCTGGTTTGTGTGTCTTTCTCAAACAATACAACTTGGGTGAAACACACTTAGATGTTTTCAGCCACATCTGCTCCTCTTTCTTCGAAATCATGTTCTCCCCTCTCAGCCGTTAAACAAGTCCATTGGCCATTGTCTGAAATCTAATAGTGGGATCCTTATTTAACGGTTGATAGGTATTAGAGTCTTGCAACATTTCAAGAACCTTATTCATGGTTGTACATTAAAACAGTCGAGTTTCCCTTATCAGATCGACGGATATAACAGTAGTTATATCCGGGTGTTGTTTTAAGAAGTTTTTCGTTTTTCTGTATTTATTTGTTAGATTTCTATCTTTTTCTGGTCTGTCACCATTAGAATGATTTGTGATTATATTTGCTGTTCTTGCTCGAAGAGTGTTTTTCCTGTCATCATCTTGGGTTTGTGCAGAAATACAATACTCCAAATCCTTTATCAATGTGGGTACAGGAATCTCTCTTTATTACCTAAAGGAAGTCCAAACTTAGGGCCCAAAGATAGCATAGTCTTCACATCTCTTGGGAGCTCTATATCTGTATAATTATATAGGTATAAATTTATTATCCACACTGATGCATAGTTCGTTTTGCTGTACTTCTATAGCTTCAAGCGGATAGAATAACTTTAAGGTTTAAAAAATCACTGCTTAACTTAGAAATTGATATCACCATCTGGAAGTTAAAAAAATTAGAAGGAAGAAATTCAAGTATCAAAAAAGACAATAAAAATCCCGAGGAGATTTATTTGCAATGTCTCAATAAGAACAATAGAAGATACAGTAGAGAATTTCAAATGATTAGACTTATGAATATAAAAAAACTAGAAGCTATAGAAGTTCAGCAAAACGAACTATGCATCAGTGTGGATAATAAATTTATATATAATTATACAGATATAGAGCTCCCAGAGATGTGAAGACTATGCTATCTTTGGGCCCTGAGTTTGGACTTCCTTTAGATAATAAAGAGATTTCTGTACCCACATTATTAAAGGATTTGAAGTATTGTATTTCTGCACGAGCTCTAGATGATGAGAGGAAGAATACTCTTCGAGCAAGAACAACAAATATAATCACAAATTATTTTAATCGTGACAGACCTGCAAAAAATAGGAATCTAACAAATAAATACAGAAAAACCAAAAACTTCGTAAAAGAACAAACACCCTGATATAATAGTAAGTCGATCTGATAAGGGAAACTCGACTGTTTTAATATACAACCATGAATATGAATCTAAGGTTCTTGAAATGTTGCAAGACTCTAATACCTACCAACCGTTAAATAAGGATCCCACTACTAGATTTCAGACAATGGCCAATGGAGTTGTTTCACGGCTGGAGAGGAAAACATGATTTCGAAGAAAGAGGAGATGTGGCTAAAAACATCTAACTGTGTTTCACCCAAGTTGTATTGTTTGAGAAAGACACACAAACCAGGCGTAAATCTCAGACCAGTTGTAAGTTGCATAAATTCCCCTGGATATAATATGGCTAGATATTTACATAATATGCTCAATCCTTCAACTTCAATTTTCCATTTTTATGTAAAAGTCTCCTTCCATATTATTGAGCTAGTCAAACAAAAGCACATACCTGATAACTACGTTCTTGTATCTTTAGATGTGGTGAGTCTATTCACAAATATTCCTAAGCAATTAGTCATCGATATTTTGAAAAAAGATTTCAAGTTCCTTTCATCCTACACCCAAATTTCAAAGCAAACATTTCTTGACATAGTGAACTTTTGCCTTGAGACAAGTTAGTACTCCTTCCAACAAAAAATATATTTGCAGAAAGATGGCTCAGCAATGGGCAACCCAGCTAGTCCAGTTCTTGCCAACATTGTGATGAACCACCTCATTTCTGAAACCTTATCAAAGTAACCATTCGACATCCCATTTTTATATGTCTATGTTGATGAGAATATTCTGGTTGCCCCACAAGACCAAATGGATCTGGTCCTTAACCTTTTCAATAGCTTTCATCAATCCTTACAATAATTTACAATGGGAATGGAGGTTGAAAATAAAATTTGCTTTCTGGATACAGACGTGCGTCGACAGTCGAATGCCACATTATTGACTAATTGGTATTTTAATCCAAGTAATTCTGGTAGAATACTCAATTATTACTCAGCTCATCCCCTATCCCAAAAAATCGGCATGATAACTGGGCTATTACACAGAGCCATAAATCTAAGTAGTCCTGAATTCCATTCGAATAATTACAGCAAAGTGAAATTATTATTGAGCAAAAAGAACTACCGTATTAACTTCATAAATAGAAACATAAATAAGTTCAAGCATGAGAAAGAAGTTAGTCATAATGGAACCAAAGACAAAGGATCAAAGATATTTCAAAATTCCCTATATTGAAGGTTTGTCACATAAAATTAAAAAATGTTTCCAGGATACAAACACCATGCTGGCATTCTACAATCCGCATACCACCAAATATCTCTATACGTCCCTTAAAGATCAAACACCACAGGAAAAAATATCCAATATTGTTTACTGAATTCCTTGTGAATGTGGTAAACAATATGTTGGCAAGACCGAACAGTACTTGAATAAACGTATGCAACAACATCGAGGAGATTGAAGAAATGAAAGAAGATATAAACCAGAACAATCAGCATTAGCCCAGCACCATTTTGACACAGGGCATGGATTCCTGTTTGAGAATACTAAAATTCTAGACACTGCATCAAATTACATAAAAAGAATGATTAGTGAAAATGAAACACATAAATCTAAATGATTGTGTGAATCTCAGAACTGACACACAGGGTCTCAGTGTGGTATACAGTAATACCTAATGGCGTATCTCAGAAATGCTTAATATAAAAGTACAAGAAGAAGTAATATAATGTTTGTATTCAAAATTTGGTAATATCTAATTAATCTCCCACCTATTTGAAGAAATGATAAGCATCATAGGTTCTCAAAATATGCAAAGAAGTTAGGATGGTTTAAATATAATGGGGTAAACAGGAGGTTTTATAGATGCCGGTACATACCGGTGATACATGGAAGAAATGTAATATTTTTCGAAACCATAAGGAATGAGATGACTGACAGATATTTTTATTGGAAAATGTCCTGGACCAAGAGGAAAAAAAACCTGAACCAGGAATTACCTTAAAAGAGCCAAATCAAATAGGTACATTCAATGAGTAAAGAAATAAGTGCAGAACAAGTAAATAGGCCGAAATATCGTGAAAAAAGAGAACAGACGCTTGACTAAAAAAACAGCTTCCTCGATTCATGATATTCCAGCCCAATTTACATCAAAATTTAAAAAAAAAAATACCTTTCACTTTTAGACTTTCTGCAGTCTGCAGCAGCCTACTGAGCTGTGCGTATTCCACACGCACCTCACCCTTGTACATGAACTCAACGATGGTGCTTAGATCGTTGAAGCGCACGTCTTTGAGAATGACGATAGGATGGCGTGCCGGATGGTCGACGAACAGCGCCCGGAAGTAGGCTGAACAGGCAGATAACACAACCTAGAGACAATTAATTAGGAAATAAAATTTTGTTGGGAGAGATTTTTTTTGATGGTTTGTTTGCCTACCTTATGGGCGCGAATGCAACGTCCCTCGTCCGCGCACGCCAGCGTTACGTCCACGAGGCGCTCGTCGCGCAATAGCTGCGCGCACACGCCCAGCAGGTTGGCCTGGTGGTTGTTCCAGCGCAGGCAGTAGTGCTCACTCCCCATCGCCAGGCGAGCGCCGACTACACAAACTACTGGAAAAAAAAAAGATTCAATATTAGCAGATATATTAGAAGAAAAATAGATTCAACACTAAATGTTTTATAAGACATGATTAAAACACAAATGATATTTGATAAAATATTACTTATATATATATATTCGATTTTCAATAAATAAGACACATTTTTGTCCAAATTTATTTGAAGGTTTTGAAAGGGGTTAGCTGCTGCCTTGCTTATGGCCACGTGGGAAAATCCGGGTGATAGGTTAGAGTGGTATTCATTTCCAAGCCAGGAAGTTATAAGCTACGATAAGGTAAAGGACTACAGGCCCAGAAACTGTTAAACATATTCATGGGACAATGAAAACAATGCCCATGCCATAATATGTCGACGGACACGGCTCATCGCAGCCTTGTGACAAGACTGGAGGGTGGAATGCCTCACAAAGAGATGGATCTGGGCGTCTTCCTAGACATCGGAGGAGCATTTAATGATACTTCTTGCGAGTCGACAAAGGAGGCCGCAGATAGCTTCAGCATAGAGAACAATATTGTCTCTTGCTTGAAAGCAGAATTACTCGATTTGATGTACAGATATCAGCAACCATGGCCAAAGGCTGTCCGCAAAGGGTGTACCAATATCCTTGCTGGGGTGCCTGGTATTGGGTGGGCTACTCCGCACTCTGAACGAGGAAGGTATACATACCCTGTAACGTTTTCAATTTCTTGGCTAATAAGCTACCTTGTTTTGCTTTAGTAGATATGATTCTATATAGAACTACAATGAAATAAATGAATAAACAACTGTCTTTTCTGTGCCCAGATTTTGTTACCTTGAGTACTGCCTTCTACTAGAAGTTTTTTTGGTTCAGGTTTGCAAGTTTGGTTAATTGATCTAGGAAGGTTTGATTCAGTACGGCAGGGCCCGCTGTTATTGATTAGAATCTTAGGAAAAGGAGTTAGTACCATCATCATCTCTGTTTGCAAATCCAATCAATAATCTGAGTTTATGATAATAATTGTTGTTTACTTTTTGAGTTTTCATTTCCATCATGTCATTGAACAGCTGTTTTGTCTAGGCGTTTTCTTTAGACCTGTTCTACCTTTTGATATATGTTCTATAGGCACTTTTCAACATTCACCAGTCATTTTTTACACAACCGATTCTCAGTTCGTACTTTTGGGGTGAAACTGAACACGTCCTTTTCTATAATTTTCTTCAATGTCAAAATTAGAAGTTTGACAGATGAAAGTCTTCTTCCGAAATCTAAATTCTAAATGAAGAATCTGCCCTTTTGATCTGCGACCTCACGCTGAGTAGTCGTTCGGTCTCGGGCCTCGGCCCTAATTATTTTTGGGGCGAGACTTTTTGGAATTTTGTGCCAGGAAGCTCAATTTTGAGACTAATTTCTTGCTGATAATTGTCTAGAGTCGTCCCTTGGTCATTTTTGGATTCTGTTTCGGTAAGTTTGAGATTTTCTGCAGGAAATATTAACCTACAACACGTGTTCCATTTTTTTTGATAGGACTGTTCCGAGCAGCATTTGGAAGTTTAAGACTTCACCTTTGGTCTAGAGTATCCCTCAATTTGAGGTAAGATTATTTCTAATATTTGGGGCTCGATTTGTTTTTTATACGAACATCGTTATAGGGTCCTAGTCTCAGGCTATAGTTGGAAAATCCTAGTCTCAGGCTATAGTTGGACAATCCTTGTCTCAGGCTATAGTTGGACAATCCTACTCTTAGGCTATCGTTGGACAACCCTAGTGCTAGGCTGTAGCTAGACAGTCTTAGGCTATAGTTGGACAGCTCCTAGAAAGAGATTCTAGACTAGATCTAGATTGCTCTTAGTTGGCTTTGGTAGCCTCCCTTCAGCAACCCTCTTGGTACCGCTCTGCTAGAACCACATTGAGTTCTACGTAAAGCAGATACCACGTGGATAGGACTCATGACTATGACTCACTTACCATACCATAGTCTATCCACAGTGAGACCGAACCTGTAGATAATATCCCTTCAAAACTTCTGGATTTACACACACCTTTGAAGATAATCAACACTGGTACACATGTAAGTTGCACTTTTTACTATTTAGGCAAATCTTATATAAATCACTTGATACTGATTTACGTTCGGTAAGTGCCCCTTAAATAAAATTCTAGAATTTTACCCTGAGGTTGCCCTAACAATAATTTTCACCTTTCTGGTGTTGGATTTGCCTCTTGGTAGAGTGTAACTGATATTGTGGTTCTAATCTTTCACAAGTGTAAACACACAGTTAAAACTGTTTATCTAAAAATCAATATTTTTATACATTATTTACATTCATATTTTTTTTTTATAATCAAATATTTATAAATTGGTACAAGCATTATTCTAAACACATTTTTAATAACCTCCTGGCTATCCCTATATTTTGTTATTATTTTTAATAAAGAAGCCAGATACATTATTGTACCTAATTAGTTGTTTTATTGATAAGCTCTCCAATTGCACAGGTTTTGTTTAAACATCATTAGGTTATCTTCCTAGTTAAGTCACAATTAACTTGGTGGCGCCCAAAGGTAAGATGTATACAAGGAACCCATAGACCCATGGTCGCCGAACTGATGCTGACTAGCCGTATGCAGTATAATTAGGCAATTGCCAAAATAAGTACGTTATAACCCAAGGCTATGCGGACGATCTCGTCATCGTTGTGGCAAGAAAGGGTGTCCGGCATCGCATAATTAAAGGAGCTCTTATGGTGGAAAATTGGTGCGGTACAACAATGACGGGCTTTTGGTAACTCTAAACAAGATCGATGTTGTACCATTCACTCATCGAAAAAACGGGCTTACGTTCTTTGGATCAAGACCTGCCCCATCCAGATCGGTCAAATAACAGGGTCGTCCAGAGGGCCACTGCTAGCCTATGGGCCCTTAGAAAATTCATTGGACGCACCTGAGGGTTACCTACTGGCTTTACACTGCAATGATCACGTACGGCATCTTAGACTGGTGGAATGCGCTACGCAAATACACCTACAGGACAAAGCTGAACAAGCTCCAATGACTTGCCTGTATGGCAATAACTGGAGCTTCCAGAACCACCCCAACGCTGGTAATGGAGGCCATATTGGGACTAACGCCTCTAATTTTTTTTGTGGAAGCGCGGGCATGGAATTTGGGACGATAAATCATTTACGTAACATGTTCCATTTCTTCTAATTTTCATTATAAAGTTATATTTTTGACATTTCAGAATCAGCAAAATGATAATTCATAATTTAAGTAAGTTGAAAGTATCTGCAAAGTTCAATTATTTCAATATTATATATCAGTACTGCCATAATGAGCATAAAAATGCAAATATCTATTATTAAAAGAAGTTACCGCCATCTAGTACCTGATAGATTTATTTTTTTAAATATGATTTTTATCATTTCCCATTGAGAGTCATTCATATTTTCATTTAAAGAAATTATATCTATCTCACTTTTAGTAAATAGATATATTTCTGTCTTTCTCTAACTTCTGATTCTGAAATAATTGTTTTTGGCTAAATGACCTAATTAATTAGTGGTTTTCTGTTTTCAACATAACCTTAATTTAAATTATTGTAATTTGTAAACCATTAAAATAATTGTAGTGGGTTTTTATCTATTCTCTTTGAATCAACGTGGTGTTTCATTGATTGAGTACAGTATTTAATTTGTGTTGAATGTTGTCTTCTGATTGGTCGATGGTTACTACGCAGTCAATTATAAAAAAACACAAGATTGGTTTCCTGCAGGGTTTTGCTTCTAAAACGGTCTTTTTTTCTGGCAGTGGTTGAGCAGACAAGTCGATTTTGATTATTGTAGCTTTTGCCTTCAGATTTCTAGATTTTCCCTTAATATTTAGCAACATATTTTACTATCATAACACTGTTGAGTTTTTACCTGATAAATCTTATCTTATCTAATTTTGAAGTATAAATATTATATTTTAATTTTTTATCTAATTGTATGCATCTATTTTGCGATTGGTGTTCCCACGTTTTTTCTGAGGTTAGTCAATTCAGAGTTTTGGGCTAATACTGCTGCTCTGTTTCTCGAAATCAATTGTTAGTGTGGGATTATTGGACCATTTGCTCTAAATAGAGTCGGTGCAAACCAAATGTGTGTGTCCATCCCTATCAACTCTTTATTGAATCCAGGCAGTGGCCTGTTTAGCCATTTTCTGTTTAACTCCTTCAATTATCATCTTCTCGAGGAGAAGAGTGTTGAAAAAGGGTGTAATTTTTAAAATTTAAATCCAGATAGGTCAAAAATTCATTTAAAAAGTTTTAATTAAAACATCTCAAGAATTTTGACAGTTCCTGGATTTGATTGATTTCACCCTCAGGTTTATCTTGTAGTACCTATAGTAGGTACCTTAACTTAAAAGGAAAATTTGTCTATTTGGGGAAAATCTAGAGATTTGTGTTTTTTTAATTTTTTATCTATGATTTAATTTTCCCTGCATTTTTTAAAAATTTTGCCTGTTTATTGCGGCTGCCAGAAAAGCAGCATCCTGCTCAAATATAACGAGCATTTTAATTTAATCTACTTAACTTACCTATTATTACCTATTATTTCATCATTATTTTTAATTATTTATTTGTTTTTTTTCTTATATTAAAATATTTTTCCAATTTGCAATAGTTACTCATACTAACCTAATTCTGTTGGAAAGGAGTGTCTGCACAACAATGGTTTTATAATAAACCAATTTCAATTTAAATCTTCTTTGCAAGACACTCGCTTTTTGACAGAATTCAGGGATTTAATATTCCAAATCTTGGTGAACCTGATACTGCCTTATTCTTTTCTGGGTACCTACTCGAAATAAAAGATCACTGTTTGGAGTCTGGATCAGCTGGAGTGACGTCACACCAGCAATTTATCCTCTTTCCTGGAAGCAACACGAAGAGCTCCGGATTGGAAAGGTACATATTATTGTATCAGGTTCACCAGAACATCCATACTGTTAACTGTCAAATTTAAAAGAAAAGTAAAATTGTTACTAC